GCTGGAGTTTTGGTTGTTGCGTCAGGCATGGTTGTGTCTGAAGACTGTCGTTCGACGGGTAATGCGGCTGTGCTTACAGCCGGTACAACTTGTATGCGCTTCATGCAAATTTGACTGTGCTGTTGCTCGTACACGATTGGCTGACACGCTCTAGACGCAACAACGCATGCGCCACACGAGCCTTTCCAACGGTCCTGAATGAGAAGTGAGTGAATGTGTAAACACACTGTGACACTAATAAGTCCCTCAAACACTGTCATATTAATATTAATTATGTTTTAAAACGAGGAAAAGTTCTTAATAAAATAACAATTTACACTGAAGTTTGAAAAGTTTTCTATAATCATTAGTATCAAAGACATTGTTGCTCATAACCCACTCTAAAGTTATTATACAAACATACACATGAATTAATACAAAATGTAGTGAATTGTTTTTATGTTGATTCATTTAAAATCAAAATAAAGATATTCATACATGATATATACATCCATTTCATCCTCGTCTTACCAACTAACCACCAGTGATGGGCTTTGATGACAATATAAATATTACTCATGTTTTTGAAACGAGGTAAATCCAATTTACACTTCAGATTGTTAAATTTAATATAATTTAAATGAACAAAGACATTCCTGTTTTTTAATCCTCCCACTCCAGAATAAGTCATGTCACAGAAACATTTACATGAGTTGCCACCTGGAACGCTCGTGGTATTCAGTCTATGTCATTAAGAAAGGACAAAATTGAATATCTTCTTAATACTGACTCTGACATCTTATGTACTCAAGAACTGAGACTGAATATGAACAATCATGTCGAAGATGTTAGTAAACTGTGGCAGAGTGGGAAATGTGTAATGTAAAGCTGGTGGTGTTTGTATATTTTCAGACATCATGATGTTAACATAATCAGAAGAAGAGATATTATTCCAGGAAGACTTCTGATGCTGGATTGTTATTATCAGGGTGAAAAATATCGTGTTATTAACCTGTACACTGCACCAGATGCTCGT